CTAGCGCTCGGCCAGGCCAACGATTCCACCAATAGGAAAGTGGACCGTGTCGAGTCTGAGGCAAGCGCTGACCAAATCCGACGTCCAGCCTTCACGCAAGTTAAACAAAGCAGAATTATATGACTTGTACACAAATCTGCATCTAACTAACCTCTCTCCCGAGTCCACCCCAACCCCAAAGAAGGGCAAAAGGCAAGACAAACCTCCAGATATGCCTCACCGGACTACACCGTCTTCCTCTCGGGCAAGGCACAGCTCTACGCGATTATCAAGCCGCGGTGTCAGGCCGTCAGCAAGCCTGGGCCGCGCCCCGGATCCCGCCGCCGCAAGGGTGCATGCGACACCGGCCGCAGCTCTCTGCCAATCACAGCCCCACCGCACGCCACTTTCAGCTCAGACCTCACAGCCCAAGCAAGCGCTTGGCCACACTGGCTATCGAACACAGCCCCGCCGCCCGCCACCTTCAATTCAGGGACCGCAGCCCAAGCAGGCATTTGGCCGCACTGGCCATCACACACAGCCCCGCCGCCCGCCCCTTCCAGCTCAGAGCCCGCGGCCCAAGCAAGCACTTGGCCGTACTGACCACCACACACAGCCCCGTCGCCCGCCCCTTCCAGCGCGGGGCCCGCGGCCCAAGCAAGCGCTTGGCCGTACTCGCTGGCAAACACAACCCCGCCCCCAGTCCCCTTCAACTCTCTCCTCCAAGCGAAATCACAATACTCGCTCTTCACTGCTAAACAAATGCCCGCCCCATCAAACGCCGTCGCCTCTGAACCTCCCCAAGTGGCTCACAACATCAGAGCGCAGATATTAGCAGGTGCGGACGTCGATCTCTCTTCTCTTCTTTCCCTCCTGCCCACTTCCGACTCAAACCGTCAAATAGACTGCGGGGATTTCTCAGTCACTTTAAAAAACCCAAATCCTCTTTCATCACGACGTCTTTCTTTTTCTGAGTTCACTATTGCATTTTGTTGGTTCACCGAGATCATCTGTTCAGCCTTCCCCCACAGGCGACGCAAACTCAATGATTATCTGTCAATTATAGCCGAGCTCGCATTGTCCTACGGAGGGAGCTGTTTTCACACGTACCACAAGCTTTTTTTCTGCAAAATGTGCAGTACGAGTCGCCCAATGGAACCAGTGCCCTTACTGGGGCGCACTCGATCCAGATCTCCACAGCCGGGTATTTTTAGGCTGCAGGAACATTTCTTGTGCGGTTTGTAGGTCAGTCGCTCACTGCACCATGACTTGCCCACAAATCAACCCCTCTATACCCTCATGCCCTCATACTTCCTCGGTGAAATCCACCAGCTACTTCCCAAGATCCGCAACTACTGCAAACTCGGGTCCCGAACAACCAGCCCCATCAGAAGCAGATAACAGGCAGCCATGCATCTCATTTAACAACGGGAGATGCATCAGACAGCGCTGCCGGTTTCTTCACATCTGCAGTTTCTGCGGCGGAGCTCACGCCCGCATCGTCTGCCCAGTGTTTAAAGCTGTGAATAAAAAATCTAAAAATTACCTATCGACTCCCGTGAATATTTCTTGCCTGACCATCGAACTCGCTCACCACCCAGACAAAGAATTCACTAATTATCTTCTGTCTGGCCTCAGACACGGTTTTAACCTCGGCGTCGAATGCGCGCTTACCCAAAATTTCATCTGCAATAATCTCCAATCCACCCACGCAGAGTCCGATGTCGTAGACAACTTAATCAAAAAAGAAGTCAAGTCAGGCTTTATGATCGGCCTTTTTGATAAACCTCCCTTCGAAACGTTTTGCGTCAGCCCCATCGGAGTGGCTACTAGGAAATTTTCAGGTAAGAAACGCCTAATAATCGATCTATCATCACCACATAATTCCACGGTCCCAAGCATTAATAGCTTGATCCCTCTTGACGAATTTTCTCTCAAGTACCACGACATAGATCAGGCAGTCGAATTGATTAAAATTGCGGGTCAAGGAGCCTGGCTCGCAAAAATAGACATCACTTCTGCCTCCAAAGTGATGCCTATTCATCCGGACTCGTGGCATTTGTTCGGGATACGTTGGCTCAGGAAATTCTATTTCGCCGTCCGTTTAATCTTTGGATGCAAAAGCAGCCCCAAAATTTTCGACATGTTATCAGAAGCCGTTTGCTGGATCTTGTCCAATAATTACGCAATGCCCCACCTTATTCACCTCCTAGACGACTTTCTGGTCATTTCACCTCTCGACGCAATCCCAGCCGCCCACATCCTCACAGTCCAAAAAGTTTTTTTCCGTGCTTGGGATCCCCATCGCTCAGGAAAAAAACATGGGTCCCACTACGTTCATCGAGTTCCTCGGCATCAACTTAGACTCAGCTAAATTTCAGCTCTCCCTGCCCAAGGAGAAGATCGATAGAATAATCCTCATCTCCTCTACCCTCCTCGCCAGCCCAAGCTGTTCTAAACGCAAACTCCTTTCTCTACTCGGACACTTAAACTTCGCAATGAGCATCATTGCCCAAGGCCGCCCTTTCATCTCGCATCTTCTCTCACTCGCATCTTCGGTCCACGCGCTCGAGGACCTCATTCCCCTATCTCACGCATGCTGCGACGAACTCAAGTTATGGATAATGTTCCTTAAACAATGGAATGGCCTTTGCCTTTTTTACAACAACCTCGTTTCATCTCCCGTTGACATCCAACTATTTACAGATGCAGCTCCCTCAATTGGCTTCGGAAGCCGTTCTCATTCTCCCGTGCTCACGCCTCTCCTTAGACGCTTAATATGGATCGCATCATGCGACCAATTTATAATAATTGCCAAACACGTTCCAGGTTCAGAAAACCAAATTGCTGACTCTGTCTCGCTTTATGTTTCAGAAATTCAGGACGCTGGCTCCAGAGGCGGACTAATTCCCAACTCCAGTACCTCATTATTCAGAATTAATATTCCCGTAACCCACCCATTAAAACCCCTTCTCGATGCATCGCTCGACACTATCCTCCAAGCAGTTTCTCCCAGAACCCTTCAGTCATACGTGACAGCGTGGAGATGCTTCAAGGCATTCCACCGCTCATACAACACACCGTTCCCCGATTTTTCCCTACTTTCAATCACCTCATTCATCCCTTTTCTTAACAGTGTTAAGGGTCTCCAAGTTGGATCCATCAAAGGTTACCTGAGTGGCATCCAATTTTTCCACAAGCTGATGTTCGGCGCTCCCTCGCCCGAAATAAGCAATTCACAAACCTCCCTCCTGATCAGAGGAATCCAGCGATCCCAGCCCACCTGTCCAGACTCCAGACAACCCATAACATTAGACATCCTCACAAAATGTATCCACACCCTCCGTACAGGTTACCAGCCTCTCAGTACAGCCCGCACACTCGACGCCATGTTCATTCTAGCTTTTTTCGGGTTTCTTAGATGCTCGGAACTCACCATCTCTTCCGAATTCGATCCAAAAATCAACCCGACCGTCTCAGACCTAACCATACTCGATAGCGAAACAATTTCCTTCTTAATCAAACAAAGCAAGACAGACCAAGCCAAGAAAGGTCACTTTATCTACATTTTCAATCTCTCTTCTCCAGTCCAACCATACCAGTCTTCGAGTACCTCCGCCTTAGGAATTCTCAGGCTAAACTCCCTCACGAACCACTATTTTTAGACGACTCCAAAAAACCCGTCACTCGCTTCTGGTTCCAAAAACACCTCAGATCCGTCCTGCAATTATCGGGCATCCCAGCAAAGAATTTCTCCAGCCATTCCTTTCGCATTGGGGCAGCAACATCAGCAGCCCAAAAAGGCCTCTCCGTCTCGACCTCCCGCCGAACGCTGTCAGAAACCTCTCAGCTAAACCTCACGTCTTTTCCCCCTGCCTGGCGAGGTTTACCTGTTCGATGTTCTGAGTCTGATACCCCATCGGATGCTGCGAGAGCCCTCCCAGTCGGGTTTTCCTTTTCTCTCTCCCCGCCCGGCGAGGCTTACCCGTCTGATGCAGCGAGTCTTGATCTCCCGTCGGGTGTCGCAAGAGTCCTCCCTGCCGGACGTCCCAAAGCCCCGTCAGATGTCGGCGAGAGTACTCCCGGTTGGGCATCTATACTTGCCGCCCGCAATTGAGACTTATCCATCCGATGCCGTGAGTCTTGATCTCCCGTCGGGTGTCGCCCGAGAGTCCTCCTTGCCGGACGGCCCAGAGCCTTTTTTTCTGCCAAACCGAGAGGACCCACACGTCCGTAGTCCTGAGTCTTAATCTCCAGTCGGAGGCTTCATGGGCCCTCTCGGCCAGCCATTTTGCCCTCTGCCCACTGATTAGCAAACGCAGACACCGCGAGCTATTCCAGTCGAGGCAACTCGGGCCCTCCTGGTAGGACTATACAATCACACTGCTCCTCCCCCATCGACCGGTAGGGCTCACCCGTTCCAACGATGTGAGCTCCCGTTGAGCATCGGCTCGAGCCCTCCCGACCGGGCGCCCCAAACCACGTAGTCTAATGCCAGCAGCCGGTAGGGCCTACCCTCCCAACGCTTAAGTCGCTCTCACCTGAGTACGTAGGCTCTTCCGGTTTGCCAACCAGGCAACTTCTCAAAACATCAGCCCCCGCCAGTTCTCAGTGCTTATTTTGGGGGGGTTCTCAGTCTGGCGGCTGTCCTTTGCTCAGTTGCTTTTTTGGGGGTACTCTAGGTTCGGGTCATTCCCGAGCTCGGAGCCCTTTCCCGGACAGCACGCCAAATATGCATTACCATACTTCAGCTAATTATATGTAAACGTGAACTCGTGAAATTATGTTTTATAACAATGTTCGGGAGGAGCACGTCAGATACTTAGCCTAATTAACACAGGTGGAACACACCCAAGTTAATCAACACCATGATACAAATACAGCTGACTTACCTCTAGCCATTGACGGTTTATCAGCATCCCTCCTTCGCCCCATCTCCTCACTTCGAGTTCATACTACACTTATACGGGGGGGGGGGGGGGGTACTCTAGGTTCGGGCCATTCCCGAGCTCGGAGCCCTTCCCCGGCCAAATATGCATTACCATACTTCAGCTAATTATATGCAAGCGTGAACTCGTGAATAAATAATTTAAATATCTCCTTACTGTTTCCCCCCAACATATACATGGTAACTTTTGCGGCAAGCTTTAGCCTATTTAGCGCGCTCACGTCACGTTGGTGTGCGCCATGGTCACGAGAACTCATCATTTGCATGCATTTTTAAGCATTGTGGTTTAAAAACAAGTGATTGAAACGCAAAAAACAGCACTACATGTGCAAGCTGTCTGTTTCTGAGCGTGATTTCTGCAATTGGGTCGGATCATATTCACACCTTAAACGAACCGTACCAGAGTTTGTTTGGAAGCGGACCAAGACCACCTCTTCAGCTGGGTCTCGGTATGGTTGTTTGGTCCGCACCCAAGTGCGATTGCTGTATTCACACCTGCCCAAAAGATCCGCACCAAGAGGGGAAACGAACTTGAGTTCGATTCAATCGAACCAAACAAGACAGGTGTGAATACACCCTTAATTTCACAGTGAAATATTAGAATAGTAATGTTTATTTTGTCTAATATTTTATGTAATAATAATGAGTATTGTTATGATTATTATTATTATTTTATAGTGATATTGATATTTAATCACAATTTTTTGGCCAAATTGTGCAGTACTTTACACAGTACAAACAAGCACGTTTTATCACATTCACAATTTTATCAGAAAAAAAAAGAGAAAAAATTAAATGTTCTTTTCCCAAATTGAGCAGCCCTATTTTTTTCTGATGTATTACTCAGCTGAAAATATATAAAATGTTTGAATGAATTAATGAAATCAGAACATTCATTTAACAACCATCAATAGATATTTGTGCAGTGAAAATATTCAGATTTTTACCACCCTTTAGTTAGAGAATTTACTTTATTTTTGTAAAAAAAAAAAAAAAAATAATTAAATTTAACATAACATAAACAAGCAAACAAACCATACATGTTTTGAATTATTTCAGATCACTGGGGGTCCAGGAAACCTGTCTGACTCAACATCATACCTAGCGACGATTTCCCAGCCTACTGAGGACAACCTGTCCACCATCGTCCCGGATGTCACAGAGCGGCGGAACAGCACACTGACCGTGACTCTCCTGGACCTCAACAACAGCATGACCACCATCAAGAGCACCACATCCTCCGCACAACCGATGAGAATGCAGTCTCTGCTAAACCAGACTGTCCTTTATGAGTACAACACCAGATCACAGCAGGACCCCTGCTGGGAAACATATGTCGGCCAGGTACTCGCTCACATCAAAATCATTGCTCTCTGATCCAGATTTAGCTTCTCAGGGCTTTCCTGGTTTCCACATCTGACTGGAGGATAGGAATGAACCCTTCATAGGTGCTAGCTAGAATTATCACTTAGCACATTTGTTGACTCACTGCTGACGTTACCAGTTGGCAGAGCCTTCTGGTTGGTCTTAAAAATGAAACTTGAAAGCAAAATATTTTAAATCTCTAAAATGTACTTTAATTCTGGTTTTTATTTGGCATAATGCATCATTGTTATACCAAGTAAACAAAATGTTTTCATAATGCTTGATTCAATCAATTCCTGATATATAGAATAAAGTTCCTCCCTACATTTTTTCTCAATGTCTTGAAAATATGGCCAAGCAAAATGAAGCTCTTAAAAATATATCTCACAAATGCACACTAACATTCAAAAGGTAGGGGGTCGGTAAGATTTTTAAATGTTTTGTTTTACAGTAATATTGTGAAATATTATTACAATTTAAAATAACTATTTTGTATTTGAATATATTGTAAAATGTAATTTATTTCTGTGATGCAAAGCTGAATTTTCAGCATCTTTACTCCACTTTTCACTGTCACATGATCCTTCAGAAATCATTCTAATATTCTGATTTGTTTATTGTCATGAATGTTGAAAACAGTTGTGCTGCTTAATATTTTAGTGGAAACTGTGATACATTTTATAGTATTCTTTAATGAATAGACAGTTCAAAAGATGTTTATTTGAAATAGTAATCCCTTGTTTGTTTTAATCATTTATATAAATGGATTTACTGTCACTTAAGATTAGTTTAATATTTACTTGCTAAATAAAACTATTCATTTATTTCCAAAAAATTATATTTTACTTCCAAAAAAAAAAAACAATAAAATCTTAAAATATTAGTGTATGTCACAACAAAAATTCCTTAAATATGAAACAATATATAATATATTAAAAATAAATAATTAATAAATATAAATAAATAAATAAAAGTGGCATCTTCAAACAAGTCATTCTGAAAAGCTTTTCTTAGAACTAATACCACTTTTCTGAGCTACTTTTTCCAATTATTTTTAACTGTGGGTGTTGGTAGAAATGCTAGCAGACATGCTTGGCATCCTTTAACCACTATGACACAATCTTGCCTTCAAGTGAACTAATGAAATATCTCAATTCCAAGCTACACTGTTATTTATTAAAGGCATTATTGTGACAAACAGTGTAAGAATGTTTCCCTCTGGAAGAGAGGAATATGGATTGGAAACGTGGCTTGAAATATCCAGCCCGGCTTTTATTTAATGAAAGTGCTGTCAGCGCTGACTTTCTCTTGGTTTCAATCCAAGGTGATTGATACTGATGGTCTGCGGAGGGGTAAAATTGCACCCTGCACAAGGAAGGTGAATGCAGACTGTTTGTTTTGTTTATCTTATTTACAGGAGATGTTAAAGCTCTCCATCATTGATATGATCTTCACGGTGGCAAGTATCCTGCTTATTGATTTCATCCGGGGACTGGTGGTTCGATACTTGAGTGACTGCTGCTGTTGGGACTTGGAGAGCAAGTTTGTAAGTCGGTTGCACTTTCAAAGGTTTTTCAAGTAGATAAATGAGCGATAGATAGCCCTGCCTGGAATCTGCACCTGTTGAAAACATTGGTCACATTTTCAAACACCACCAAAAACTGTGTAGGTCTCCACTTGGGTCACATATTTTTTACATATTTAACAAATTTAACACATTTAAAGCAATGCTTCAGGTTCAATACAAGTTAACGATAAGGTGTGTAACATCTGTGCCGCCAGCAAAACCAAACAGAATAGCAAAATATTTTCAAACAGGTTTCACAGACTATTGGGCATTAGTTGATCAAATGCTTCTGTATCTGCTCAGTCAATTAAGTTGAGACAGGAATACAGGATGAAGTATTTTAATATTGAAAATATTACACACATCACTTTTAAGCTTTTTCATCAGCATCTGTGATGTGCTTTTGATTACCACTGGAATATAATTGTTCCTTCAAAAAATAACAAACCTCAGTATCATAAACTGCAGAAAATAATGTGTGCTAATCATATCCTACTGATATGATTAAAAACATTATGTCAATAGAAGTGAATTTAGAAGTTGTCATTTTTGTTCTAGATTCTGATTTTTCTGTAACAGGGATTCCCAAACATTTTTTTATCAGCCGAACCCCTTTGACCTAAAATATTTATTTGAAGTACTTCCTGAAATTTGACATTAATATTTAAGTAATTTAACAACACATTTGCATATTCACGGTTCTCTAATTTTGATTAAGGGTCACATGACATAACCATAAAAATGAAAATATTTTTTTTTTTTTTTAGTAAGATTCATTGTCATTTATTTAAATGCTTTATTTATTTTAATTTTACATTTTAAGATGTTTTTAATTATTAACATTTCATCAGCTTGTGAAGCAAACCCCAGTTTGGGAAACCCTCTTCTATACCATGCCTTTATAAATTCCCTTTTTAATTAAATTAAATTCCCTTTCCAGCCAGAATATGGTGAATTTAAAATCGCAGAAAATGTTCTTCATCTGATATACAACCAAGGAATGATATGGTAAGTGAGTGATGATTCATCATTTATCAATACATTGTCCAAGATATGATCATCAGTATAAAAGGAAATGTATCACAATCTTTTTTTTTACATTTACTGTGACTGCTTTTTATCTCTAATACACATTCCTAATTTAAAATACTATCTCTCTCTGTGTTAATCGTTATTATTATATATGAGCTTTCCTATCTATATCTGCAATAAACTCTCCTGTTCCTGAGGTGCTCTTTACACAGGTCCTCAATGCTCCATTGCCCTCCAGCTTCAGACTGTAATCACACAATAATGACTTGTCTGAAGCTATAGGTGCACAAGCAAAACTCCTTTAAGATGGGAAATAAATCTTCCCGGTGTCTTTGTCTCTCCCTGTAGGATGGGAGCGTTCTTTTCACCCTGTCTGCCCGCCTTTAACGTCCTGAAGCTTGTCGGCTTGATGTACCTGCGGAGCTGGGCTGTGCTGACCTGTAATGTTCCCCATCATCAGGTCTTTAGGGCTTCCAGGTCAGTGAGGCAGAATTAGGTCATTAGAGGTTATACATTCATTTAGAACTAATCTGAGGTCAGTGCTGCACTGTTCCAGTAGCACCAATCTAATGTTTTGATGTGAGAACTCAGGCAGTTTGGCTTATTAGTGGAGCTGAGCTTGGATAATCTGTCATCATTTGCTTATAATAAAACCATTACAAATACTGGTTTCATTAATCCTGGGACCAGTTGAGCAGGTTGATGCAAGTATTTTTAGTTTTTTTTTTTTAATAAAGATGTGTGGAATTTGGCTGAACATTACTCATTCTTTCTGTCTTGTAATAACCAAAGTGTATGTAAGTAATCAGTGGATGTGAATAATCAACGTATAATAATCCGATATCCAGAATACTAAAACTGCACACATTATGATAGATAGGTGCATTTAAAATACTAAAGGAGCTTTGTTTGATTCTTTTTAATCATCAAATCTCTTTTAATATAAGTGAGTGATGATTCATCATTTATCAATACATTGTCCAAGATATGATCATCAGTATAAAAGGAAATGTATCACAATCTTTTTTTTTACATTTACTGTGACTGCTTTTTATCTCTAATACACATTCCTAATTTAAAATACTATCTCTCTCTGTGTTAATCGTTATTATTATATATGAGCTTTCCTATCTATATCTGCAATAAACTCTCCTGTTCCTGAGGTGCTCTTTACACAGGTCCTCAATGCTCCATTGCCCTCCAGCTTCAGACTGTAATCACACAATAATGACTTGTCTGAAGCTATAGGTGCACAAGCAAAACTCCTTTAAGATGGGAAATAAATCTTCCCGGTGTCTTTGTCTCTCCCTGTAGGATGGGAGCGTTCTTTTCACCCTGTCTGCCCGCCTTTAACGTCCTGAAGCTTGTCGGCTTGATGTACCTGCGGAGCTGGGCTGTGCTGACCTGTAATGTTCCCCATCATCAGGTCTTTAGGGCTTCCAGGTCAGTGAGGCAGAATTAGGTCATTAGAGGTTATACATTCATTTAGAACTAATCTGAGGTCAGTGCTGCACTGTTCCAGTAGCACCAATCTAATGTTTTGATGTGAGAACTCAGGCAGTTTGGCTTATTAGTGGAGCTGAGCTTGGATAATCTGTCATCATTTGCTTATAATAAAACCATTACAAATACTGGTTTCATTAATCCTGGGACCAGTTGAGCAGGTTGATGCAAGTATTTTTAGTTTTTTTTTTTTAATAAAGATGTGTGGAATTTGGCTGAACATTACTCATTCTTTCTGTCTTGTAATAACCAAAGTGTATGTAAGTAATCAGTGGATGTGAATAATCAACGTATAATAATCCGATATCCAGAATACTAAAACTGCACACATTATGATAGATAGGTGCATTTAAAATACTAAAGGAGCTTTGTTTGATTCTTTTTAATCATCAAATCTCTTTTAATATTTAATGTTTGCAGTTGACATTTATTATTCAGTGTTTGTAAGTTGCAGCTCTTGGCCTTTGATGTTTTCCTATATTTGACACTGCACACTTTTGTAGGCAGTAAGAGGTAGCCCGCCAAAACCGCTTGACAGAGCTGACATCAACCCTAAAGCACAAGACCACTTTAAATGAAGCACTGACAGTGGCGGAAAGGAATCTATAAATAGATATATTCAGCATTTCTACATTTGCACTGCAAGGCTTGCACAGATACCATATTTTGAAGCATGATCAATTTTTGTCCTGTTTGTTTACATTCACTTAAAACTGTGTTGACATTAATACCTCGGCAAGGAGTGTTAGGCTGTTGTAGCTTTGGATAATATATGCATATTAATCTAAATGTAAACATCAAATACATTCTGATTAGCTGGTGAACTGTTGCATTTTACATTCAGTTTGGACAACAACAAAAATTGCTTATTCTTACAATTGTATAGCATTGCATATGGTTAGTGAACAGAGTTAGTCGAATCGACCCTTAACCTAAACCGAGTTTGGCAGGCTTTTGTCAAATCCAGGTATGTTTAGATTGCATTACAACAAATAACTGTTATTTCTACATCTTTCTTACTTAAAAAGATCCCCAGCCTATTTCTACATGTTTCCTTTGCTGGAAAACAATGAGGAGTGTAAATTCCTCTGACAAGAGCTGCAATGTGAAACAATTTTGCTTTTTACGAGCTGTGAGATTAATTTGAAGTCAGCCAGCATTCAGTGTATGGCTCAGGGACTCTCTGAACGCAACACTTTTGCTCTCTGCTTGACTGAATTCAAATCCCTCTCGTTTTCCAGTGTGGTGAGTACAGAGATAACAGTGGATACTTCAGTGTGACAAGCGACTGGGTTGGTCAAAGCATCAGTCTCGCTCTCCTTTTAAGATTTATGTAATTGTATCTTCATAGCTTTATCAGTCAGTCGCAGATGTGAGGCGAAACATTGCCGTGTAGTCTAAGCGTATTTCATCTTCAGTGCTGTGTTTTATAAATGATAAAAAGGAATCGTCCCACTGCAGGTGGGGAGTGTGTAACTTATCAGATATGATCAGTTTCATTGTCTACCTGAGTGAATTCAAAGTAGATAACGGTTCTTAATTGAAATTTATTTTATTCCCCAGATCAAATAATTTCTATCTGGCGATGCTTCTCTTCATGCTTTTCCTGTGTATGTTACCGACCATTTTTGCCATCGTAAGGTACCGGCCATCTCAGTACTGTGGACCATTCAGGTAAATAAAACTGTCCTCTTTGGGGCTGCATTTAAATCTAATCTCATTTAAGGTGATGTGTATTATTTTTTTGGATGTTGAAATACTTTCTCGTATCCCGGAAATAAGTGGAGACACCTATACAGTGGGTACGGAAAGTATTCAGACCCCCTTAAATTTTTCACTCTTTGTTATATTGCAGCCATAAAAATTTAAGGGGGTCTGAATACTTTCCGTACCCACTGTAAGTAAGCCATCTGCTGTTGACTACCCTTCAAAGTGTTAAAGCATTACTCTGAATCACGAATAGGTCGACACAGCGATACTGACTGAAACATTGGTGTGAGTTTGGGATGAGATTAAATTGCAGATGCAGGGAGTGTTTGGTAGCTTTTTTGGAAATTATCACTATTTTAGCAATTTTGTTTGGTGGCACTAATGGAAATGCAAAGAAACCAAACAGTATACACTACATGCTACAAACAAACTACTGCCATATACTATAGTTGTGTGTAGATATATACAGTATATATATATATATATATTTTTTTGTGCATTATTATTTTTTCAGCTATTTGCTAAGGCAACATTTTACATTTTCATTTAGTTTAACTTTATGCACTAAAATAACTGAAACCGAAAATACAAAAATAATTAATACTATAGTATCTCTAAGTTATACTAAAGCAATTAATAACAAAATCTTACAGTCAACTGATCATGTGCAAAATAAATCCATGTGATCAGATTTGTATCACCCTCTAGAGGTTTATTTTGCAATGATGCCTAGTAAACTGTAGGTTATTCAAGTTTATTTTTCAATTCACGTTTTTGTATAGCGCTTTTCACGATACAAATCGTTGCAAAACAACTTTACAGCAAATTAAGTTTCTACAATATATTTAGTGGTAGCTTATCAGTGGTGACTGTCAGTTAATGTACATATGGCAGAAATGTACGGACAAATCAATTAAATACGTAATCAAACAGACGATGAACACTATTAACAGCAATTATTATATGATGCAATCAAACCTATAGCAAAATGTGGTAGTGTGTTCTGGATCCAGACTGAAGCTTGTGTAAATCCTAGTTACCACGGGATGTGAATCCCGTGGCAAAAACAGAGAAACAAATAGAGACATAATTAGCGTAGCTGCTGTTCCAACCAAGCAAAATTGACTTGTTTAACCCAAACTAAAGAATAATAATGTGCATTTGATCAGATATAACTGCAGTACAAGATTATGAGATGCATTATTTGAATGCTTGGCCAAAGAGATGTCTTTAATCTAGATTTAAACAGAGAGAGTGTGTCTGAACCCCGAACGTTATCAGGAAGGCTATCTTACTAACTACACAGCTACGTTCAAAATAAATGCACGTAAACATTTTTTGAGTTGAAATTAATTTAAGATGTGACAAGCACCAATATGTAGAAAATCATTTGCCTGCTTCATACAGTTTAGCATCACTTCTACAAAAATATTGCATTGCAAAATGATTCACCATTCAGAATCAAATATTAGCGCAGTATAAGAATTGTTTAAAATTTGCATTAAAGTACGCAGCTGCATTTCTTCACATTTCCTCTGCTGCTCTGTAGTGGCCAGGAGAAGATTTACGACATCATTTCTGAAACCATTGCCAATGACTTTCCGCTGTGGTTCAGTAAAGTGATGAGTTACGTCACCAGTCCTGTGGTGGTGCTGCCCGCTCTGCTGCTACTCTTGTAAGTAGGCCTACTTCTCTCTACACTGGCCTTAATTACCACTGAGAAAAAAGCTAGAAAAAGGCAGTCTTACCAACAACAAACAGACGTTGGCTTGACAAAGTTTTATCTGAAAGATTAGCTTCTTCTTAGAATGTTCTGTGTGGTTATGCATGGCTACTAAGGTGTTTTAGGAGATCTCAAAAGTCTCTTTTATTCACCAAGGCTGCGTTTATTTGATCAAAAATAGAGTAAAAAGAGAAATATTGTCAAATATTATTCGAATTTAAAATAACTGTCTTCTACTGCAATATATTTTAAAATGTAATTTATTCCTGTGACGCAAAGCTTGATTTTTCAGCATCATCACTCCAGTCTTCACTGTCACATAATTCTTCAAAAATCATTTTTATATACAGTACTGTGCAAAAGTCTTAGGCCACTAGTATTTTCACCAGCTAAAAATGGTTTAAAGTCAGTTATTTCTATCTTTTGCTGTAGTGTGTCAGTACAAAATATCAGTTTACATTTCCAAACATTCATTTGCAGGTAGGTCTCTTGAAGCATCTTGGAGATGTTGCCAGTTTGTCTCAGTTTGTTCTGTTTCTTCATGTCATTACAGACAGACTGATGATGATCAGACAACTATAAAAAAATAAATAATAAAATACTGACCCCCCCCCCTTAACAATAAGTGGGATATATGGTAATGTAGGTGTTTTTCATAGTGTGCTCTAGGAAAAACACAGGTTGATTCAATTAAGGAAGAGCATAGCTTCATTGCTGCTGAGTTTGGAGGATGTAGACTGAAAACTTTAGGATTTACATTTACAAGTTTTTGGCCTATGGTTGGAGAGTTAGAAAAAGTCCTTACCCCTGTATGTAGGCTACAATATCAGCATGTTGGTTTTGTCAAGCCAGCATAATTCGACCAGGCGAGCAGGACACATGCCTTCAGTTACTCAACCTTGTGCTGTTCGTCATTGTCTCTTTCAGCATGCTGATCTACTACCTCCAGGCCATCGCTAGATCACTCAAAGTCACCAACAGCCAGCTGAGACTGCAGCTGCAGACCGTAAGCACTCGAAACTGAATATCATCATGATGTATTTCAGTTCATTTAACAGATCCGTGATTTACAATAAGGAACCTGAGCGAAACAGGATGAGGTCTTTGGATTTCATATAATCTAATTTCTCCAGCAGTTTATTTTATAACGCTAATTAAATCTCCTGTTGCAGGAGAGGACAGACGACAAGAAGAAAGTATTTCAGTTAGCTGCAGGTACTTTGTCTGTAAACTATCTTCATTACGAATACAAGAGAACGTTTCGGGCCATTTCAGCCTGCTGAGCAGTAACGGCCAAAGTTATGTAGGGGAGAGCGGGGCACAAAGTATAAGATTCAGAGTATAATTTTTTTATCCACAGTAATTTCACACTTGTCTAGTACAAATATGTTGCTTTGTTTCATAATTACAGTGTATACGTTTTTCTTTATTTACCCTCAAAAATTGGAAGTGAAATGTGACAACATGCCCCATAGGTGGGGTACATTGTAACAGCTGAGGGGCACTTGTAACATGACCATATGACAGCTTAAAATGTTATTTGATCGCATGAAAAAAATATACAAGACAAACTAAAATATTTTGTCAATAAAATAAAATAATTATTTATTTCAAATAAAATAATGCTGCGCAACTGGAATTTAAAACCGGTTACTGTCTTCTGACAGTTAGCGAAGCATTAAAAAATAATCTAAACTGATCAATAACAGATTGGAGATTAAAGGGGTCATATGATGCTATTTTAAAGATCATTATTTTGTGTATTTGGTGTAACAGAATATGTTGACATGTTACTATGGTAAAATAAATGTTCAGCGATATCTTCAAAAAAACTTTTGAATTTTGGTGCACTTTTTTTATCTAGATAATGTTGATATGGTAACTAGTAAATGCTGTAAATTTGGTTATGCTAGCATGTGTGGAAATATTTAAACCACGTGTTACAATTTACCCCGCGTTACTTTGTGCCAAGCGCTCCCCTACTCACAATATATAACGTCATAAGCCAATATCAGCTTGTCACCAGTTGGCTGGACATTTGGGTGTGTAAATGTGTGATTTACAGCGCGTCTGCAGGCACCTGAGGGCAGCGATAAAAAGCCGGAACAAGAGAGCGACATTACTAGTATGGAGTCGTCCGCCCGCTCAGCCTCTCCTCAGCGCCGCAACGGTAGCGTCACCAACTTCGAATCTCCCGTCCGCATCGGCAACAGCATCCGAACCATAACGCAGTCGGCTTCACGGCCGGACATCGCTAGAGCCGCCGGAGCGACTCGGAGCCCCTCTGTTACCGTGCAGCAGAAACACAAAGCAGAGCCTGTGGCCAGTAGGTCTGTGCTGATCTGTGGCTTTATATTTCACTGCTGCTTAGCTTCCATACATCTGCAGTTCATGAAGCTAGCGTCACTGCCCTCCATTTCTGCCCATGTAGTGCTTTCAGAATGTACAGCAACCCCTCAGTTCCTCAAAGACAAGTACGACGAGTGGAGTACATACCCATCAGGTTTGGTATATTCATGAAGTTTGGTTATGAAAAAACATAATTCTGCAATTTCGTTTTTACCTATGAGGGTAATCTATTAAAGCAGTGTTCCAGTATTCAATACAAAAGAAGCTCTATCAACAGCATGTAGATTACTGCAGAAAATAATATCGGTCCTAATTTTTTTAAAGGTAAAAATAACGATTGCAGTTGTGTTGTAAGTACAATTGTAACTAAAATTCAAATTATTAAAATATTTTTGTAAATTGAAATGGAGCTGAAATAAATGATAAATATTGAATAAAAAACAAAAAATTCGCAAACTAAAATAAAGCGCTAAATAAAAACATTAAAAATAATAAAAATGACACAATCACATAACAAAATTATTAAAATGTAAATACTATAATAGTATATAAATAATACTAAAATAAAACTGGATTACAGTAAGGTGGTGTAGCGAATCAGCTCATGGGGAAATATGAATAATTAATCATAACTAGTTATAATTAATTATAAATATTTAGATCCGCTGTAGATATTTACTTGACCTCTCAGGGTCAACTGTCTTGTCAATTCTAAGAACGTTAATTTCCTGGTTAAGGGAAATAACTTTCTTACTGTACAACTCTACAAAGAGCTTGTAGCATAAATCTGCATGATTAAGTGACTCCAGTTATGAGCAAACAATGAACAACGTCAAGTGTGATACAAGTAAGGCTTTATTAACTACATAAACACTTAAACTAGTCTAACATACTACATAAACACTTAAAAATGAAAAATGGTGTGTCTGATTGGTCCAAACGCTACAGTGGGTAAAGTAAAATACTACACTTGAAACACTGTTTCAAAAGCACAGCCTCTATATTTAAACATTATAGGTTTTGACATAATGTAAGACTAGTGTGACAGAAGCACTTGCTGATGCTGTGTCGGTGTAAAGTAATGTATCCAAATATTTAATTTGTCATACCGTGTAACTTCAGCTTGATATGCATAAGGATGCATAAAGCAAACTGCACTGCAGGAATTATGTCAGTAAATCATAACCAGAAGTTCATCCACTTAGAAAATTAGTCCCAGCTCAAAAAGTATAATTTAGACTGCTTTACTGACCAAACAAAAAACTGCAGTAAACACTTTCTGAATAATTAATGTTAAGTGCTTTAACAAAATACAAACTTTATATTTCTGCTTTTAAACCCTTTAGAACACTGGCTTGCTTGACTTAAATTGTTTATGTGCATTACTGTAAATGTGCATTTTTAATTAATTAATTTATTAAACTGAGGGACAAGTAAAAAAAAGTCAAGAAAATCCTTCTCTCTTTCTATACTTTTCTGCATTTGATGTTATACTTATATTATACTTGGCACTGTGTGTCTCATGAAGCATTGACTCCGGATACATTGCTTGTGATGTTCTTTCTTTGTAGGTCGCTTTGGATAAAAGTGTTTGCTAAAATAATAAATGTAAATGTAGATGCTGTTCAAAGAGCTTCACTTAAAAAAACTAACTTAAATATCTATCTGTATCTGTACCTTTATATATATATATTGCTCTATCATATCAGATCACAGACAGGGTCATTAGTGCTTGCACTTTGAGAGTAAAACTTCATTTGGCATTTTTCATTTCATAAAATGCAATGCACTTCATACTACTTAATTAAAGGAACTATTCACTAAAACTGAAAACATAGTCATCATTTACTCATCCTCATGTCATTCCAACCCTACATTATTTTCCTTTTTCTGTGAAACACAAAGTGAGCTCTTAAGAAGAATGTGGGCAGATTGCTTTTATGGTGCTTTTAGTCCTTTACAGTACAAATCACCATCCTTTTTTTTTTTTTTTGGCTTAACATCTCCTTTTGTTTCACAAAAGAAAGAACAATAAAGGTTTTGGAACTACTTAGTAAATGATGAAAAAAAAAAGAACTGCAGTTTTGGTTGAACTATTCCTTTAAAGGGGTCATACGACGTTGATAAAAAGAACATTAATTTGTGTATTTGGTGTAATGCAATGTGTTTATGCGGTTTAAGGTTCAAAAAACACATTATTTTCCACATACTGTACATTATTGTTCCCTTTCAGTTGGACACTCCGAGTCACGTCGGTGACCGACGAATTGGGATATCGCTTCGATAGACCAATCTACTTCGAGTGTAAACTAAACGAGCCAATGCACATTGGCTTGCAATTATTGCATCCAGCTGCCGCTGATCACAGCGTGAGTATAATAAGGCAGCAGGTGCAATGCATACCAGCTTTTCGCTTCGGAGCCGAGCGACACCGCGTTCTGCTCAACTGTGTCTGTTCGAGAACTATGAGTTCAGCACGCTCTCGGAAGCTTCTTGTGTTGGCGAGATGGCGCTTCATCGATGGTCGTTCCAGTGTCGAGTGGGTTGCGCACTTCAGGCTGCACTACCCCTGTCGTGTTGCAAGCGGCCATCTCCCCTGTGCGCCTCAGCACTAAAAGAGCATTTCCTAAAGAGCAAATTTCTCTAAAAGAGCTACACGGGTGCGTCTTTATAAAGATGACGGATCGTCCTTATAAGGATGCCCAGCATCGGAGGGAGAGCTGTCCGATGAGGATTCGCCCACGCTGCCGCCCTCCGGGACGGTGGCAAGGCCTGGATCGGATCCAGAGATGGGCCGCCGCGGGGGTAGGGCTCGAGTGAAAACCTCCACCGCGTCCCGTGCCCTCGAGGCTGGATGATTGGTTTCTCGGGGTGGCTCGCGCTGGTTCCGGGCCTGCTCAACCGTATGGCCGACAAGCTGTCTCGAGCTACGCTCTCGGGAAAATGGTGACTCCATCCTCAGACGGTCCAGCTGATTTGGAGACGTTTCAGGGCCGCTCAGGTAGACCTCTTTGCCTCTCCAGAAACCTCTTACTGCCAGTTGTTTTACTCCCTGACCGAGGGAACACTCGTCACGGACGCACTGGCACACAGCTGGCCGCGGGGCCTACGCAAGTATGCGTTTCCCCCAGTGAGCCTTCTCGCACAGACACTGTGCAAAGTCCGGGAGGACGAGGAGCGAGTCTTGCTAGTGGTGCCGTATTGGCCCACTCGGACCTGGTTCCCCGAACTAGTGCTCCTCGCGACAGCCCCTCCTTGGCCAATTCCTCTGAGGAGGGATCTACTGACTCTGAGACGGGGCACCATTTGGCGGAGGTTCTAGGTGACCTACCCCAGGGGGTAGTGAACACCATCACTTCGGCGAGAGCACCGTCTACGAGACACGCTTACGCCTTGAAGTGGAACCTGTTCGTCGAGT